GCTGTTCGAAAATCTCGAACAGCCAATCAAATTCCAAATAGCCGATGGGCTGCTCTCCTGCATTGTACAGTCTACGAAGATGATGTAACCGATGTTTCAACTGACGAATTGCACTTGTGGATCTGTTGGCCTCCAACAGTTCCGACTGGCCCTCGACATTAAAATGTTAAGGATGGGAACACCTTTTTAATAAAGCATTACATGCGGAAGATATCAGGTTGTGAAGTTCACTTCCCTACTATCAACCAGGACAGCATCGTATGCGCAGTACGCATCAGCACCATATCCTATGGGGTCTTGATGTGCAACATATCATTAAAATTACCTCTTACCTGACAGGGTCAGCGAGAGAAAAGTTGTAGAGCACAATAGCAATGAAATGTCGAATATAAAAGGTGAAATAAACATATCCCTGAAGAAACAACTGAGCTGATTCCGCTGAGCTTAATGGGAGACTTAATTAGTGCAGACATCACTTCCACGATAAAAAGGAAGCGCTTAGCACCCCACAGCACTTTGAGGTTTTCAATATACTAAATGAAACGGAGGAGAAAGGGAAATCTTACGCAAATTCCATCCACCTGCAACTGGTAGTATTGCCGTTATCGCATGCTACACCTGCGGAGTAGTCGATCAGGTTACTTATGGCCTCACATGCTCTTGGAAAAGAGGCAGACTGCAAAAAAATCCCCGGCCATAATCTGCCTCCCTCCTTCTGGCAGCAAGGGGTGTAACAGCAGCATGACGGCTAGCCAAGATAAATAAAAAGACGATGAAGGCGTCAATCTGCAACTGAGTAGCTTTCCATTACCAATCGAGGCGGCGGGCAGTGCGATTCCATTATAGCACATCAGAAAAGCCTCCACGGGAATGACACCGCCAGTGGGAGCTTACAGTCGGAAACTAGCATATATCCTCAATCAAGAGGAAAGAGCAGGAGCTACTTCATGAAGTCGCAAGGTATCAATCTGATAGATTTGAACTCTTGTCAACGAAGCGCCGAGGCTCCGATATTCTGAACCTCTGTGGGTGGAAGCTATTCTACTTAGGTCTCGATATCACGACGCGCGCTCAGACAAGTGTTGGTGATCTGGTAGAACCCAACCTGACTCTCATAATTACTGAATGCCTCAGTGGAGGTGGCAATTCTTTGATTTAAACTACAAAATGCTAAAGCGCTGACCTTGTTACAGGTCTATGCGCTCAATTTAGAGTGAGAACATCAGCCTTTCCTTGAGGAAGTGGACTGCCGACTACAGAGTCATTAATTCTAATGGGCGATTTTGATGCGAATGTCGAAAAAATGGAAATGCGTGATTTGAAAAGTACGGACTCATCGTCCTGAAAAAATAACTGTAAAAAGTCATTGTGGCTCCGTGCAAACAACGGACTATCAGTTATGTATACATTCTCTGCGCAATGAAGCATGCATCAGTATAGCAGGTGCAGACAAACTTATCCAGAGAAGTGGATGATCAACTGGATAATCATATCATTTCTTTTAAGACGCTCTGTAACGATGTTCGAGCTAAGAGGAGTATAATTGTCAATCAATCATCACGTTGTGCCTGGCACCTTCCGCTATAACCATGGAGTACCATGCAAAGACCTGGCGTCATAATCAACCAGAGAATCAAATGGTAAACAATATCTTCTGCAGATATGGGAACAACACTTGCAAACAACATTGCACGAGTTTGAATAGATTAAGGTGATGAGCACTGATGTGGAAACGGGATGGAAGCCCTTGAACAGTGCCTTACTTAAGACTGTTGCCAAGTACCACGGAAACCGGTTGGATTGCCGCTTGGAGGTCAGAAACGATCTTCCTGGCGGGTACGAGAGGCACATATGCCTATCATCGAGAAGGCTGCATTCAAGAGGTTCAAAAGCAAAGGACTGCCAACTGGAGTTAAGTACGAAGAAGAGCGCAAGGTGGCAGCGAAAGCTCATTCCATTTATGGAGGTGCTTTGGTCAAATTTCCAGATGGCACACAAAGTATTCAAACATACCATCTGCCATTTCTGAGGTGAGAAGAAGGGCAGTCCCGAACAACGATAGGTCTGGAGGCCCTCTTACTAAGAATGACGATATTCTTCGGCGACAGAGAGAGTACTAGAACAACTCATTAATCTCGAGAAACCGTATGAAGAATCACCTCAAATGCCTCAAGGCAACACTTGTGAACAAAATGATGCGGGATGCATCAAACTCTGAAAGTGTTCAAACGACGCAGATCCGTGGCCTGCTTAAATGCCCTGTCCCTGAGGTCACTGGTATCATTGGGATGGTACAATACGCCGTGAAATCTGGTCTTCACTGAGTTACGCGTTAACTTTACTTCATTAACGAAACACTTAAGGAGGCAAAGGGTAAAGAAAACTACTCTAAGATTGCTACGCCACGAAAAAATTCACACACAACAGTATGCATCAATGCGAATAAGCGTTTAACTCGTTTGAACCCGTATTTCAGAATGTAGAATATGTTTTTTTTAACATTTAAAGCAGTCTATAGCTTCATGGAACTTAAGCACTGCATGACAAATTTGTATCTCGCATCATTTTACTGCCGGAGCCACCACACTATAAAATCCAGTTTTGGTTGAGATAAATGCCTAGTAACAAACTCTGGTGAACGAACCCAAATTACGACTAGTGTAGACTCGGTAGAAGGATTAGTAGGAATAAAAGTAAAAGGAAAAATAAACCGACTTTCTTCCAAGAACGCTGATGTTGCGTTACTGCTACTCGGTTGAAATTCCAACAATGGAACGTACTAACCGAACAGCAAAAATAATTATCAGAGGCCCATCGCCTTGGGCACTGAAGCACCCATGACACGAGTTCACGTGCTTCGAACACTTGAGAAGTTGTAGTCCATTGGAAGCAACCACCTCCGCTTTGTATACAGATATATCCGTCGATCAGTTTAGCTAGTTCCGGCCAAGAATTTTAGGCTGTCGAAAATGGTTAGAAAACTGAGCACAAACAGTCCGTCAATAACGTACTGCGAACGTAAATGCATGTTTTATGCTGATTTTCATTTTTCTGCCCTGTGTGCAGCTTCCATTTGTGAGACTGTTTTGTGCTTCTCAAGCCAACAAACTTTTACGAATGAACCTGAGTGATTTATACCTGTCTATTTGACACATCACTCGAACCGATATAAGTCCACCACCAGGAGTACACATAAAAGCAAACTCGAACTAAGCGCATCTTTCAACTTCAGTCTACAACACTTCATCATGGTATCACAAAATTCGAGCAGCAACTGTTAAGATGGTACAGCAGTCAGATCTCACCCGCCCTCTGGAAAGGAAACTGAGAAACTTCATAACCGCTGGTAAGTCAGTCGGTTTGCCTGAAATTTCCAGGAATTGCGCAGTTGGTGACTACACAGAGCTTCTGGGGCAGCGCTGATTGCCAATTCGATGTCCCCAACCAGAAATGGCACATTTTAAGGTAATGTGCCAAAAAGATGTTCAACCGTAGCGTTCGGACTTCCGTTTTTTCTCTCGCAACGCAATCTTGGTTTGCGTACAGGGCGACATGCTCTGGCAGGATACTTATCGATGATCATCCGATAGCGAATCCGGCACTTCTCCAAACACGCTCCCTGAGCATCTGTCACCAGGCTCCCAACAGATGTTATGATACAAGTTCAAACAGACAGTGCCGCCTGCGCTACCGTTTGTGCTGTGTACATTACACAGAAAAAAGTTCAACGAAGGGATCAGAAGACTCTATAGGAGCTTGTCTATCCAACCAGCTTCCGAAGCGAAGGCGAATCGATACGCGCAACCAAACAGCTCAGCTATGGAAAATACGCTACGGCTTACGCGGAATCGACTAATCGCCCCTGACGAGAAATTAATTAACCAATATCACTGCATACCGCAGCTAAACTATCAGCACATCGCTGAGTATATTTAAGCTTTAACGAAGAAACGGCAAAAGAGTGAGGAGTTTAATCATCACATATCCAGAAGGAAAGCGATCTACAATACTACAAATGTCAAGCTCTCTAGGGGGATAAATGGTGACGCTGCCGCCCACCTCCATTGTATTTTCGAGGTAAGACCAGAACTTTTTATAAACTGCATATAACGTAACGTCAAAACTTAGCATCAGCTTATAAAATAATTGAACAAAAAATGCTAACAGTCGCTTGTAGTTCAAACTAAAAATTCACTATGCGAATACGTTAGTACCTTTGTCAGTCGCACATTACTGACTACAAAATTAAAATAAACATAAGCACACATAGAATGCAGCAGTTTTCGACAAATCTGCCTAGAAAGAGAATAACAAAAACAATACAGTCCTTCGGAAAAAAACAGCACGGGACGAAACTGCTGGGAATTGTGGCTTACCTTGACTTAGATTACAACTTGAACACCGACCTAGTTCCAAGCGTTCGATTTTATCCTATGAAACCTTTGACAATAAGCTCACAGAACTGATTTGTTTGGTTAAAATACCAAAACAGAAGCGCTATCACACTGCTTACGTGTAAAGAGTATAATCCGGAGCTGCTCGAACCCCTTGCGCAATGATCACAGCTACGACCAAGCCGTAAATAGCAATTATACCGGCCATGACAACAGGTATAATCGATTTCATGATTAACTCCGGTCTCATGACGGACATGGCTGCAATGCCGGTTCCGGATTTAGCCGTTCCATATGCTGCTCCTAATGCTAAAAGGCCAAATTTGCTCAATTAACGCAACTGCGAACGAAATCAGAGGTAAACAATACTTACCAGTAAAAACCATCGCAGCAGTAGCGCCCATGCTTCCGAAGAAGGGGCTATATACTGGCCCCAGTTCAAGAACAGTATACTGATCGGTAGACATTCTCGCACGGAAGATTAACAAGGTGAAGAACAAGAACAACAGCTACACAGTATCTCTAGGATCTCTCTGGGCGTACGGTAATAGGAATATTCAAGCTACAATGAACGGTAACGTAACCTGTAAATCGCTTATACAACAGCTGAATACGTAGTTAGATGCACGCTAGAACTCCGTAGTAGTCGACTCAGTATTATACTCACTTTCGCTGTGGTTTCATTAAGTAGTCAATCGCTAAGGTCGGACTTAATATTTTTCATATTTTGCAGCAAAATTTCTGTTAAAATATTCATGCAACAGCTGACGTCAACTGCGTTTGTTAACTATCATTCTTTGACAACGAGTAGAAAGTATTTACCGAAAATGATCATAGAATAATATAAAGCTAAAATTTAAAAGTCCTTCGATGTTATTTGCTGATAGCATTTAGCTGGACAAGATAGAACAAAACTGAAGTTGGAGTAAGTCTGGAAGACACTTATATACGATAGCTTTGCTGTACAGCTGAATCCGAGAGAATTTTGGCTCACAGCCGCTGCTTATGTTGATGTAAAGCTACAGTTGCAGTGGCTTTGGAAAGTGATTCGATTGTTTCCAGAAAGGAAGGCCGGGCACCTCGGGGGTGACCAGAAATAGCCTGGAGTAAATGTATCTAATGACCCTGCTCCGGACTCCGGTCATCTTCTGTCAATGCTCAAATGCAGGCACAGGATCAAGAACTCCGTAGACACTGTCTGACGCGTGTATTGCGCTCTCTGAAAAAAATAAACGATCGTCCAAACTGATTGATTGAATGATTGACTTACTTTGCTGTGTTCTTACTTGAGTGTTGCTATAATATCTATAATGGCACTTCTGAATTTAAAGTTTTCGCAATGCCCACCAATAGTTATGGAGTTAATTAATGTTTCTCGTATTAACATAAAAATTGACAGTTTATTGCTAGATTAGCGGATGTACCACGCAAAACCAATAGTGACTAACATTTCAGCAATCATGATAGAATGTCACGGTTACCATTTTAGCACAATTAACAAAAGATAAGAATTCTGCACGGATTTCACAAGCTTTTTCAAACCGATGACAAAAAAGCTACTTAACCATCAGCATTGGTCAAACGCGTACATTCCGTTCTAGACGCCGCATCAGCTGCAAATAACACACCCAACTGCAGAAACCAACCTGATGGCTAGTGTGAGACGAGCCGAAGCGTGAGTACTAGTCGATTACCCGATTGGCTAACTTATTTTTTGCGTTGTGAATAAATTAACCGTTTTGCATTTCTCATCTTCCAACATTAGCACCAATGGCCGAATAAATTGTCTAATCTTAGCAATGAGACAAGGGATGGAGAATGATGAAAAGAAAACAGCTTGGCAGATAAAATGCAAATGCAGAGAAACGTAAAAATCTAGCCGTTCTTGGCCACGTAGGAACTCTGTGCTTTTGTTCGGTAAATTGAATAAATTTTATATTTTAAAAAGCTTCGCAATAACTTGATTATAGTCTTTTAAAATATTAGTTCTGAATTAACTGTCCTCGTATTACGTTCCTTTTGACAATATAGTCTTCCATTGAGTGCATTTATTTTCCTGCATCACAGGGAAAATTTAGAAAATCTTTATTTATGAATGATGCATAGTGAATTTCGTTGATTCCTTTGCAAACAACAGCACATCTCTACTTGTCACGAATTTCATAAACTACATTCAATATGTCAACGTTTATGACAGACAAACCTGCGTCGAAAATCTATGGTCCCAACCTCACTGCTTTCTACGAAAGTCCGCACACGTTAAACAACAAGACTTAAATGTGACCAATGTGACACTATCTCTTCCAATTTGTTTCGATTATCCTTGAGACGTTTTTCTGTACTGGTTTCACGGGCTTTTCGCTTGTTCATGATTTAGTTTTGTTAGCTATGAGGGCACAAGTGTAATACTGTTCCTTGACATATTTCATGTATTTTATTTTGTACAAAAATGCAATTCTTTTGCGATCTCCTTTCAAACTGAAAACTTTCATTTTTTTTGAGTACTTGAGAATTCATGTCATTCATACCTGATTAGAACTTTGCATCAAAAAACTTGAAGTCTACGACGTCAGTAAGCACATATCCAAGGATTAACTGAATTCAGAAAATCGGATGTTTAACCATTTCGGATTTCAAAGCAGTTTACTGAAATATTGTCACAACTGACAGGGAACGCTGAAATTTTGACGATGGTTATGCATCGCTTGATAATTAGATGCAGTTGAAATTTTATACGCCAATTTAAGAAGTTGCATAAATTATACGTATGAAATCACCTCGCTGCTAAAGAGCACGGCGAAACATCAACATTGCATATTTTCGAGGAACACAATAATTCTTCGAACAACAATCAGTCCAATCTATTCAGCATGCTCCATCACGCTGAAAACGAAATAGAGCGGAAACATTTTAATCAGGGATAGTAACTGTAGCGTGACAGTTCGATAAGGCCATTTGGGAAAGAACATTATCCAAACTTCAGCAAAAGTAAACGGGTGACGCTTGATTGTGAATTGTATCACAGAATCATATCCCGAATTCAGCAGCCACTCAGACGGAACAATTGATACAAATCCAGCGTTCGATTCTTTTGATCATTGCTGATTCCAATTCACGTGGAACTCAGGTTGTTTGCTTTTCAAGAATTCTGCCGTAGGTTGTAACAGTGCTTCATGATTGAGCAGTTGATTAGTCCCAGTGTAGGGTTAGGAAATATCAATTGAAAAGGAAAGGATTCCTTGGTTGTAGTGTAAAAAGATACTGAAATGATAGTAATATTGGGCTTCAATGTTATTCTGCGACGGTATCGAAAGCTCTCGCAGAACATCGGAATTCAATGTTGTCACTCTTTCACGTTCGAACATAGTTTTGCTCAACCCCTGTTTTAGACGAGGTCCTGCGTCCCATGCACTGCAGGCGCTTAGATAGCTTGGAGCCGTGGCTTGCCTAAATGGTCACTCTACACGTCTAGAAGCAAGAGGGTGGTGCAACAAAGCTGCTGGCGTAAAGTGGAAAATTGATTTTTCTTTCTTTGCACTGTGCATTCGCCGTTTTAATTCGGTATTTTTGAGCTTCATGTTGAAAATTTTTTGACTGTATCGATGTTATCAAATTCTATTCTTGAAACCGTTTTAAACGATCAGCAAAGCAGCTTGGTGGCACAAAAAAGCGGTTAAGGAAAAAAACGCCTGTTCTATTGCTACAAAGGTAAGATATAGAGAAGAAAACATAACAGCTGCATTATTTCTGCATGCCAGTTATTTATTCTTTTTGATATATAAAACCTGAAAATGCTGAAATCGCATATACTTCACATATTTATACTAGTTTCAGTCAGGAAACGTGCCTTCAGAGTCATTCGTTTGTACATTTTCACGACCTTAAGACTGCATTTTATGTATACATCGATGAGAAATTCTGAAATGCTGCCGGAAACATTGCTTCCATTTTGGAGGAAATGCACGCAGGAACCATGACTGCTGTCAAGTTTGAAGGAAAACTCTCTGAATAGTTCCAGATCTTCTGCAGAAATCCCCGGACATACGCGCTTTCGCTACTCACCACTGCTCTTGACTTTCTTCTCAAAGACAGTGCTCACCCTGGCATAGAGGAAGTTCTCATTCTACAGTGAGTACGTATTTGAAGATATTCGATTAGGTTCCTTGCTGACCTGGAGTGCGCAGATAGTATTGTTCAGGTGAATAATATGGGAACCGGGCCCTCTGACTTGACTTCCGTATGCTTCAAATCTGCGAAAACTGACTTCTCCCAGAAGTTTAAAATTATAAGAAACCCGTCCTGCACGGTTAATATACAAATGGAACATAGAGGTGAAGCGCTTCAAGATATTGACTAATTTAAGCATTTCGGCTTCATCATTTCTTTGGATGCACTATTTTTAGCACTAGACTTGACTGCTTTTGGAACCCCGTTCAGTGATTTGCGCTGAAAAAGAAACATATAAAACCGTATTTTTATCAAAGGGTTACTTACAAAGTCCATCTTATATCTACCTGTCCCTTTCCTTTCTCGAGTCTCTGTTCATGTACAGCATGGACACCAGTATTATATCGATCGAGCAAGAACGACAGATAAGCTACGCACATAAGATTAGATCTGATTGATACATAATGAGGGTTAACTGACAGGACCACGTAAAGAATGACTATTCCCTTCCGAGAACAGGTGACCTTAGTAGATACAGGGATTAAAAAATGCAGATTAGCCCTGTTAGACAATCTGGATGAGTATTTACTCCCGCTCGTGAGTTTCTCGAGTTGGAAACGGGACATGATAAGCGTTCCAGAAGTCCGGCATGCAACATGGCGGAAAAAGGTAGAGGCAGGTTTGCTTCGGATAAGAATATTTTTTTCTGATGCAGTAACCAGTGCATTATTCAGAATTGGAAGATGCATATAAAGCAGACATCACAAACCAGGGGCATCCTACTGATGCAAATTCTCAAGGTGACGATCTCAACAATCAAATGACACCCTTCTCACGTGTTCAATATGATGAATAATGCCTACAGAATATCGATACTTTATGCTAAATAACAAGACAAGTCAAATAACCTTTCACGTTTGCATAACACACTACCGGGTTCTTTACCATATTTGGACTGTTGAACTCTAATAGACTGGATAAGAGGAAGTCACATACAGATCTAATACTTCCTCTGAGGCAAACCATTCCGATTTCAAATTCAAAAATCTTAATCTGTCGGAGGTGTCTGCGTGTTTTACGCTCATTAGCAATTTATTTTTGGCAGTCATTAATAAAATGTTTGCGCATTAAGACGATGGAGATGGGCTATGCATGTGGAATTTTTGTCAGTGTCTCGACGATTAAATTTTTCGAACTAAAGATAAGAGAAACAAGTGGTTATGCGCGCATATTATATCAATCAAGACGAAGTGATCAGTTAGTGGTCAGACGGTGCTTGTGTGACATTTTCCTGCATCAC